TGAGTGTTGTTTTTTTTTATATTAATGTAGTATAACGAATAGATCATTTGGTTATGTTACGGGCGCGATGGTGGGTAGACAGATGAGCTGTCCTTGATTAATAAAAATAAATTAATACTGTCTTTATGCTGTAAGGGAAGCAAGATGGGTAGGACATCATATTATACTTCAATGCAATATATTTTTATCACGCTATAAATTGTATGTTATTGTTGTACATCAGTAGTTGTCCTGAAGTGTCTTAGAGGTTATTATTATTTGGGGAATTTTGGAATGTGTAGGGATTTGTTATAACATTCAGATTGATATTATACAGCTCTATAGGGATTTAATTTCTAATAAGATAGACCATGGTACTATATTTAAGTTGGCCCTCAAACCCCGAAAGACAGGAAAGGCAAACTACAGACCCCAATTCTGGCGATAAATGTTAAGTTCACACAAACCCACGGAAGGTAATTGATTAGACAGAAAGTCTAGAAATAAAAAGTACAAAGGAAAAACAGTATAATCCAATAATAACTTATCTAGTTTAATATTAGCTAATATTTTGTTTTTTATCCTCTTAGTTTTTCTCTTTGCCATACTGAAACTGAGATCGAAATTCTTACTCAACAAAAGTACTTCAGGCCTTGTACAGTTCAGGATTATTGACTGGAAAAATAAACAATCACATACATGCAATCTCACAGCCTGTCTGTAGTCCAGCCTGCTGACCGGATACACATTGAGCCCACTTTGATCTAACCCGCTGTAAACACTGAATGCCAGCGCAGCCTACTGCTGTGGCCAGAGGTTATCACCATGTACTCACTTACATGCACACAAACACACGGTCACACTCAGAAAACACAGTCAAGAGTGATAAAGTCTTCAGTAAGGTGGGTGGAGAGACGCCTTATCTGTCTCCAGCCACCAAACATGCAGTCGGCTGCCAGTGACCCGAGGCCAGGTAAACAAACCTGCTGCTGATAACAGCTGGAGGAGGCTGAGGGCAGATCAGAATGTGGACTTGGACAAACCGGTGTGATAGTCGGAGAGGTTATAAAGGTGGTACTATTTTACAATTAAACTTTATATTCATATTAATGTCTCTACATATATATATATATATATATATATATATATACATATATACAGGAGAACCTTTACATTCTAATTTAATTAGTTCTGGGACCTACTTCACATGTTAAAATAATTGTATGTCGGTTTAAATCTTCCCATAAGAAAACATTGTAATTTGTATAATTCATTCCACAGCCCAGAAACCTACCATAACTTCTTATTGAATACTGCAGATAATTAATCATAGCAATCAAACAAATCCATCATATAAGAGGGATGTAAAAAGAAATAAATTATAAAGAAATAATCAATAAAAAGGGTTTTTTATTGGCACCTCATAGACTGGTGAACGGAGTTGTAGGCTTAGCGATGCAGGAGACGGTCGGTATGGAGGTAGAGATGGTGACTGAGATACAGTACGTACCGTAACTTACTCTAACTTTCACTACGTGAACTTTAAACTAGCTTATCTTATTTATTTTTATTCAATTTGTATCTTTTATGTATATTGTTCGTGAGTGTACGTGGTTGTGGTTCTTATTTTTAGGCAATCGTAAGAATACTACTACTGTACGTGTGTGTGTGTGAACAAATGCAAAGACTGACTTTGGTCCTGAAAGCCTGGGAGATAGATAGACGCCCATTTTTTATCCTTTTTTTAATGAATATTTGAGCGGATTCCATTGAGTTTGAATTCACGATGGATCAGTTTAGCGGTTTCAAAGGCAGAAACGGGTGAATGGGACTATGGTCTGGAGGCAGTGCCTAGGTTGCTGCGTGTACTTGTGGTTGGGTTGATGTTTTCCTACTGGAACAGAGGGAACAGTAACAGTCTAAAATATCATTGTCAGTCGTTGGCCACCCAAAAAGTTTCACCACATTGAATAATTTGTGGGCAGACTGTATCAAGAATTAAAAAAATTGTGAGGTGGTTCATTATGTGGGCCAAGCATCAACGGCTGTTCTATCCGCCAGGTGACAGCAGAAAAGTAAAACTATGTTGTCAGGGACCAAAGACTATCTACTGAATTGGATAAGGCATTAGGCCTGATGTGGTTGGAACTATAACAATTCCAAGGTAGGCATTACCAAAGCAGATGACTCATGGTAGCTGTTCACAGAATGGGGTCTACAACAGACTTAAAGATTTTAACTTTTCTGGATCTGTTTTTATCTGACTAGTTTTGAACATGCATTATTGTGATTATTTTTTCTTACAACAAAGAAAAAACAGTGACCAACACCAGAAGAAAGTCGTTGGGTAATACCAGAGATCAAGGGCTCATTTGTGCATTTTTCCATCACTGTATATGCAAATGTTCTGCCCCAGATACCTTGAACACATGCAGACACACCAGAGGGAGACCAAATTAACACGTGTACGACTGATAATATCTAGGATCATATCTAGGCTAAAAGTTAGCAAATAAAACTGCGTAACTAAGCTAGGCAATGCGGTCTTGTCATTTATCACTAGTAACTTTATTTATAACTTTATTGTGCACCAAATACCTTCAATGTGTGGTGGACATTTTATTTGTGGCTGATAAATTGACTCTGGATGCATTACTACCATCTATCAGGCTGGCGAGTGCATCAGCGTTGCTGGTTAGTCAAAAATTACAGACATGGGGAAAAATGTAATCCAAAGCAGTAACACAAAGCAGATGAAAAAAAAAAAAGAACATTTCCAATGATTTAAGAGAAGCAGTTTTGTCTACCCATCAATTTTGATAGATTGATCTGATATTGGAAGTTATTTTTGGTTCAATACAAACGATACTACAGAATACATCATGTGAAGTTCTTCATCGATGGCTACGTTTACCTAACTTTAAAATGATGTAATGGTCAGAAATGAACAGTAATGATAACAGTTTTATATTTAAAACTATAGATTATAAACTTAACTTAAATATGGAAGTTATGCCTCTGAAAAACACAAGTTAAGCCTGTGCAATGATGACATGACACTAGAGCTAGTGCTCGTGTGTGTATATATATATTTTATATATGAGCTTTTTCTGTGGAAATTGCATTTATTTAAAGATATTTTGGCTTGTTATCCATACATTCCATCTTTGTCACATTCTCATCATTCCATAAGAGGTCTTCTCAGGTGAAAAGAGCAGCCTAGTTTCCCCAACTTGTGTCACTGATTGTACAAGAAAAACAGAGGCATTAATCACAGCTCCTTGATCTCCCTGTCTGTCACGGATTTCATCAAGAACCTTGCAAGAACAGGAGCAAGATCGTTTTGGCATCTCTGAAATGTTCTACCTTGACATCTACACCTCCACATCGTGTGACCAAAATACAGTGGCATTCCAGTTTTTAGAGATGACAAGTGACCACTGTTTCATATCTGCAGTGTGTCTGTGCCGTCACTGCCAGTTTCAAGGGATCCCTCCATCTGCTCAAAATGAATGTAACAGAAAAATCCAGGTACTGGTATGTACTATTAAAGCTCTGACAGGTTCATTATGGCCAATTACGACATGCACAAAGTGGGTCTTTATCATCTGCAAGCTATCCCTAATCAGACAAAGGACAGGTCAGGCCTCCTCTTTCGCTCATCTTAGTGAAGTACAGCTACCGTCTGGAATGCAAAGGATGCCCCATTAACTGTCATTGCCGCGGACAATTACCTAGTCTGACCTGGCAAAAGATTAGAAGGCCTGTAGTTACGGAGCTGTCTCTGACTGACTGGCCAAAGAGTTTGACATTCCACATCTTAAATTTCTCTTGTACCTTTGAACATTGTACTTTCAGCTGCATCAATGTTTATCGATGTTTTTTGTTTCTTCTATTTTTAATAGCATGCTGAATTGTGGATTTAGCTTGGTCACTTTAATCCCTTGTTTCATTTCAAATACGCACCCTTAACTTGTATTGTCTCATGCAGTCTGTCTGTCTGGTTTCCTGCATGTCTAACGTGCTCAGGGAGATCATATCTTGTTAAGTGCCTGCTCCCAAAGAGGCGGGGGAGGACTAACAAAGGGTGCCATCAAGTCTTTTGTTTTTTGCAAGTCATGTATGTTTTTTGTGCCACTAAAGCAGTGCAAATCAGATTGTCACCCTTTGAAAGTTACCGTCTAATCCTCTCACCCTGTCAGACACTGAAATGCACCTCAGACAGATTTTTTGTGAGATTAGGACTGCAATCAAGTCACATCTATGTTTTCTGGAGTCCATTGTTTTCTACCTCTGGTGTGCATACTTGTGCATTGGAGTTCCAGATATATTCTCTTGTCTAATTCTTTACACGTCCATGCTACTATGGCACTTTAAGAATGTAATCATACACAATATATGCGAGAGAGTAATTACTTCACAGCATTAATTTATGACTCATCTTTTTTATACCAGAGAATTCAATGCCTTTTGAAAAAAACTTGTTATTTTCCTCAAATATAAAAAAAAAAATGTGTTACCCTGTGAATTTTGTTTATTTGGTATTCAAAAATGTGCAGACAGCTCAAATGTTTCTCTTTAGATATCTCTAAACTCATTAATCAGATAGGGTGATTGTATTTGAGAAAGGTCTCTTGCAGATTTGAACTAAGATTGAACTCGATTGACTGAGTGTGCTAATGCAAATATTATTTTTCTTTACCTGGAAAGTCAGAGGTTCAGTACTGTATACTTGTAATATCAACAGATGACGTAACTAGACAGCAATTGTGTACATTCAGACTGTGTTTCAAATCACCATATACATATTTTTATTTAAAAAGATATGTTCCTTTTATGCTCTTCATGTTGACTTCACTTCATTCTGTCTGTCTTCTCTTTACCTTTATATTTTCTACATCCAGGTCCAAGACATGTGTTTTAGCCAGGACAGTCGTTGGGTAGCCATCAGCACCCTCCGTGGAACCACCCATGTGTTTCCCATCAACCCCTATGGTGGTGCACCTTGTGCCCGTACCCATATGTCCCCCCGAGTAGTGAATCGGATGTCTCGCTTCCAAAAAAGTGCTGGCCTCGAGGAGATCGAACAGGAGATCAACAGGGCGGCTGCGATAGGAGGAGGAGCAGGAGGTGTTGGAGGAAGTGGCTGCATTCTGGGTGGAGGAGGGGGCATCGGAGGTCGTTGCAGTCCGATACCTGGCCTGTCCAGCAGCCCTTCTGGGTCTCCATTGCATGGTAAGTATCGAGGGAAGATCAGAAGTGAGGCCTTGTTGTTGTCGTTCTTCATTTATCTTTTCAGCCTGTTGGGGCATTCACAATAATTTAGCTGATGGCAGAACTTTGGTTACATACATTTCAAGTTTACTAAACCAGTCAATACAATGTGCTTTTTGTCATTCTTAAAAGAGTATTCTTCTTATTAATTTAGTGTCCTGAAATGATCCTTTCTATATGCTCTACCCAAAATACAGTATATACCAAGTGTGCTTGTTTGAGGATGCCAACAGCATTAGGTTTCTGTACAATGTTGAATCACCAAACGCATTCTACTATAAGCCTTTCTTGCATAAACAATAATTAATTCTATGTATTTATTGTAGTGGTAGGACCAAAAAATAAAACAATTTGAAGCCTTTCAATTGATTGAGCTGAGCAAGTTGAAAAGTTGAGGGATCTTGTCAGATCCTCTCGTTTCCTAGAGAGGATTGGCTTTTATTATCGTTTCATTAAAGCCATTATTTTCTGTATTATTTTAAGCATACTTTTTTTTTAACCTGTTAAATACTAAGACAGGGTGGGGGTTTGTATAGTGGGGAGTGTCCCTGCCTGTCGTGCGGGAGACTGGGACTCGATTCCCCGATGGGGAGATGAACATGTATATGTCATACTTTGCAAGTTGCTTTAGGTAAAAGTGTCTAAATGTATAAACTTATCCTAAAAGGGTTAGCAGAAGAATTTCTTTGGTACTTTTCGTAGTACTGTACTACAACCTAAGGGTTATTCGAAAACTTGGTGAAGCTGTCACCATTTAAAAAAAATCTTTAAAAAAATGTGTTAGTTCTTATCAGCAATATACTTTTTTTTTTTAAATTATTTTTGTTGCCTTTACCTTGTGTTCATATATTATCAAAATCAGTAATGGAGACAACATTATTGTTAGACATGTTGATTACCTTACTCCTCGAGTGAATACAGTTGGATTTAAGGAAATATCTTGAATAAAAAAGACCTTTACCCCTGAAAACTAAAAAAAAAAGACCCTGCGGAATTTATTCCCTGAAAAATGGAGCTGATATTTAGAATGAAAAATTCAGGTCGGAAAAATAACTTTTTGGGATATCTGCAATGCAGTGTTTAACCTAGAAGTTTTCAAGTTATGCAAATCACTAATATGGATCAAGTCAACCCTACATGTATTGAAACATTAGACTTTTATGTTCTTGAGCCTGAGTGTGTACGTGTGTTAGTGTTTCCAGGGACCTGTCATGGCATTGGCACTTTTCCAAGGGCTCTGTCCCCTCTTCCACAACCTTGCCTCACTTGTTTGTTGCAGGCCACTCACACCATTTATGTGTACCTGGGTGACACCAAAAGACACATATACTTTGTGTCAGTTGCACTGCTTGACCCAAAAGGTGATTTCCAGTGTAAAATATCACAGTTCTCATCAGTAACTGATTTCCAGGAATATCCTTGAGCTTTGAAAGGTGTACCGCAGCAGGGGTGAGGCCAACAACCTGGTAAACACTTCAGAGAATTGAAAGGTTGTTGAATAACCAGTCAGAATGCATGTTAGAATGCATTTTACAACCTGTTTCACAATAATGTTTTTTTAAGTTTCTTTTCAGCCCCCTGGCGTGGAAACAATCCATTTATATGTTAACAACTCAGTATGAAAGAGTTTTTTGAATGAATAGATCATAGAAGTTGTTTTTTTAGCTTTTTCCTCAGGAAACTGATGAAAAGCATAATTTTGCTGTAGGTTAGGCCAGTTTCCAAATATCTGATTCAGTTAATCATGTTTCTCTGTCTCTGTGTTATAAGAGAATGGTTTTCCATTGCCTTAGAAATATCTAAAGCAAAAATATTAAAGATAGACTTTGATATTGCCATAATCCAGAGATTTTTCCAGATTTGCCCCAAATTGACAGTAAGTACATTCACACACAAAATTGAGATGAGCACTAGGTATAACTTGAAGTTGTCAAGATGTTAGAAAACTTTTAAAATATCCTATTCAACCAAACAATCTGGAATGTCACAGGTTATGTTTGACCATTGTCAAGACATACATCATAACAAAAACACACACATTGTATAACATTGGACAGATCTTTAAAATCAGATTGGTATTATCATATGTAGCAAACTACTTTAAATACTTATTTGGTATTGATTTCCCTTAAAGATAGTTGGTCTACATAAAATAATAGAAAATCAAGTAAATTTGTCCTGCCCAATCTATCTGGTAAAATGTTAATATGAAGGGCTTTAAACCATTTAAGATGATAAATTGCTTATGCATATATGTAATTTTTTTAAACCTAAAATCATTTTGGATGAGTGAAAAACATGAAATGAAAATTATTTGAAAAATAATTTCCCTTATTTGCTTTTATCAACAATTAGTATCAATTCATGCTTAAAAGTCGTAATACACCACTAATGTCACAATAGGTTTATCTTCAAGGGATGCCGGTGTTTCACCAGGTCTAAATGCTATGATGTATTTCTACAGTTTTTACTTATTCAGTACCAGTTGTTCAGTGAATATGTAAATAAGCACCAAACCATACTTTTACCACTTGCCTGCATCTCGTTCCTAGTTTCACTGTTCCTCTGCATCTGTAAACAAGCCTTCATAGACTCACATAGACAAAGTGCCATCCAACGTAACTGTAAATGCTTTTTAAATTTTCGTTTTATTGTTAAGCAGTACAGGGGAATCTGATTCTTTAGTAATAATTTATGAGGTCTTGGAATACAGGGGGTTGTCTCAAATGGTCTGGTGAGCGTGCAGCAGAAAAGAAATTCCTCATTGCTCAGAGATCTATTTGGGAAATCAAAGGTTGGTGGCTTACTTCTGGCTACCCTAGGTCACATTCAAGCATTGGTGGAAAACACAAGAACCCCACGTTGCCTAGCAGTGCATCTATGTTTATGCTAGTGTGAAAAAAAAATGTTGCCGAAGTTGACCTGGTACAAATGTACAAACGAAGACTGTGGAGGTGGGTGAACAGGGCATGTAGTATAGTTATACTTTGAGCTGTCAGATAGACTGAAAAAATTGTGTATAAGTACGGTCCAATTGCGATCTAGATTCACACTTCTTGGTAACCTTTTATGACAGTAACAGCGATGTTGTGAGTTGTCGACTCAAATAACATGATCACCACCTTATCTACCCCTCCTCCCTTCTATCCTCAAGTATTGGATCTGCTCCTTGTATCACACAAGGCACACAAAAGGATAGATGATAACTCCAGAAGAGATGAAAGCTCCTGCTACCAAGAGTGTCTTGGCAAAAAAGCTTTTGAACACGAACGCAAAATCAACATTCAGTCACTATATGCCATCTAGAGCTGCACAAAAGGCCATACTTTCAGGGATTTCAAGGTTATAAGTTGTTGTTGTTGGTCATAAGTTGAATTGGTGGGCTTCTGTAAATAACTTCAGAATAGGGTCTGACCTGCTCTGTTTGGAAAGTGCTGTGAGATAACTGTTGTTGTGATGTGGCGCTATATAAATAAAAAGGAATTTAATTGAATTGAATACACATTATTCAATATAGAAAAACGGAAGACCCCATGGAAATATAACAGGCAATCATTGTAATGTGTATTTGTTCATGCTAACTTCAGTTTTTAATGTATAAAATAGCTCCTGCTCAGATAATATTAATATACAAGAGTATGGAGTCCAAGATAACATCTAAATGCTTTCAATTGATGGACAACCAAATATAAAAACAGCCCAAATGGCCATCAATGTCCACCGACATCTCGTTAGATAGCATTATAACTTCCATAAGTTTGATGTATTTCAAATTATCAGGTATTTTATTTATGAGATCAGACACCATTTCCTCTAGGATCTCAGCTTTACTTCTAAAAAATTCTAAATGTTATGGTAAAGCTACACAATCATTATTATTATTAATACTGAGAAAGAACATTTTTACCCTCTTTAGTGAAAATGCTCAAAGAGTCTTTCCTAATTTACAATTTGAAAGTGACATAAAATACTTTGATTGAGGGCCTTGTCACATTGTTCTATGCTTACTCAAGAACTTGTAGTGCTCCACAAGACCTGCAGCCAAACGTCTGATCTGCATGCCTGAGGGGATTGTCTGTTCTGACTATGCATTCCCTACCCCCTTATAGTAATTTTAATCATCCCAGCAAAACACCCATCCCTAAACCTAACCATAACCTAAATCTAACCTTGATCCTGAAACCAAGAATTACCCTCAGAAGTAATTTTGTACCCGTGAAGACTGGACAAAATTGTTATCCCCATATTTCCTGAAATTCCTCATATGATGATGTTCTCTCAGATTTTCATCCCCACCATGTATGGAAAACAAGTACACATATACACACTCTCACTCAACCTGACAGACGGCGCCCTTGTTTCCACTGGTCCTTCCTGTCTTCCTTGTCTAGACCCAGACCCCTCTGTAACCTCTACACCAAAATATACACATTCCTCCTTACTGAAAAAAACAGGACATCAAACATTAAAGGATCTCTGTCCATGGAGACTCTGCTTTGCTATGAGAGATATGGGGGCGGGGGGACAGAAACATCAAACTGGCTATGAGGTGAAAGTGAATAAGCAAAGTAATGAGGTGCAATTGAGAAAAATGAAGGAGAGATAGAGCAGAGGGGATAAAAGAGGAGGGAGTTACAGGCACAGGGGGGAGAAAGATAACTTTGTATTGTAGCTGTGCTGAAAGCAGGGGTCTTAGTGCATGGTCGTAAATCACACTTTTGTTTCAAAGGGGAGCATTAGGACCACCTGTCAACAATTAGTCTTAACAGTGATACCTAACTGAGTGTGTGTGTGTATGTGTGTGTGCGTGCGCATGCATTTGAAGGAGATAAACTGTCGGCAGCACTGATCATTTTTCGGGTAAGATTCATAAAGCAAGCTGTTCAGAAAAAAACAAAAGAAATCCATGGGCACTTGAAGGTTTCATAACTGTGATATCTCACGGTGCTTAAGGAAGACCA